AGAATCGTGACAATCCTTGAACACTAGAGACCAAAGTTCGGGCGGTAATACAACTCGTCTTCCATTAGCTGTATCAATAAGAACCAATCCGTACTCCGTCTCAACCTTCATGCCTTTATGTGTCCCACTTTTCAGTAGCTTCTGCACCAATCGGCTCCGTTGTTGCGCTTCGCTGATCATCGTATCCGTGAGCTGAAGCGTCACGACTTCTTCATGCTGCCGTTCGTCTCCTCGTATCTCTCCTGCCCTTCGTTCTTGGCGTTGATTAACTGCTGTAGGTATCATTCTCGTTCGTTCTGACGTCGTTGCCGTCGTCGAGTTTGTTGTCGGCATACCATCGTTCCTCACAAAACATTCTTCATCGTGTTCACTGCTTTGACATCCTTGCTCAGGTCGTAGCGTTCGTCTTTCAGAAACATCAAATTCGACGCGTCTTGTTCGTTCACGCGACTCGCCTTCTTCATTCTGGACGCCATATCCATTGTAATCCCTCGTGATGCGTCGTGGTACTTCGACCTGCGTCGTCGCATTCACGTCCCTCAGCTTTGGCACGACCGCTAAGGTTAGAGAGCGCATAAGCAACACGGAGTTGCTCGGTCGACATCAGAGCCGCATTCATCGCGAGCTCTATTTTTCGAACCCAGAAGTGAAGGTTATCGCCCTTCTCCCCTTCGTACGGTGTCACCTGTAGCCACAATGGCTTCGGGTGAGGCGGCTTTCCCTCAGTCGCCGGCGCCTGCAGGTTTCCCTGCACGTTCGCGATGAGCCCTTGCTCACGTGTCAAACGCATTGACACGTTCGACCTGCTCAACCGGTGTTGACGCCACCAGGCTTTGTGAGGCCAGCATCCCGAAGATGCCCGCCATCTTCCGAGCCGACTCGAATTGGGATTCGTTCAGGTGAGAAACTCGTTCTGATCCATGGCGACGAACTTTAGAGGTTCAGGTAGTCTACCCGCGTTGGCGTGGATTGACTACAAGTGCTACCAAGTGTGACGGGGTCACACAGCAACTTGCGCTGAGGAAGTAGGCTTCCAAGAGTATACAAACTCTAAGTGAACGGCAGTTCACGTGTCCCTGGTCTGTGGGGACGAAGTACTCAATTAAGGGTATGTTTAAGACTGATTGTATTTATAGGTAAGCTTAGCTTGGTTTCTAATACAAACTGTAAGTCATCTATAGTAAAGCTATGTAGATATGCAATGATTGGCTCCTAGAGCCCCTGGTACCATGTACCAGGTATTACAAGAGTGACAGGTCACTCTTCATGTAACTTGGGTACACTGGGGTTCGTACCCCGGTATAGGGCCTGACTTGGTATCTCGAGT